CTGCTCTCTTCATCTGCCTTTGCAGCCATTGAGATTCTAACATCATCTTCCACCTGCTACTCCATTGAGGACTTGTAGACCCATGGCTGGGGGCTGGGCAGGCTTTTCAGGAGGGCGACCATTGCCATCTGCTGTCCTTACCACATCCTGGTGGTGCTGCTGCTGCTTGGTCAGTGACTGCTTATTCATCAGGTACCCCTGCTTATTTCACAGTTAACGTTTCCTGAAGGTCATTCCACTATCCACCATCTGTGGACGCACTGTGTTGCAGTACAGCTCTGCCCCACAGAACCTGGAAATGGAACTAGTCTCTACAGTGTACTGCAAAGGCTTCAGCTACTTTAAACCAAGAAAAGAGACCGTCCTATAGTTCATGCACCTTCCAGCACCATCATCTCTCAAATTGCAGGGTGTCAGATGGCAGTTGGGCTTGGTGGAGTGTGTAAATGGATGAAACTCAACAACCTGTATAGAAGAGTTCAAATCAGATTATCTGGTGATCTCTTCTGGTCTTGATTTCTTCATTTTTTTAAACTTGAGTTATTAATCATTCAACTTGTCATATTTAAAAGAATATCTAGTCCCCAAATATATATACATAAAGACGGATATCTATCTTCCATCAACGGTCTTCCCTTAACCCAAGTCAGTGTACATAGAAGTCTTTGTTTTTTTCTTCACTTCTTTTCAGTCTCTAATCCTTTGTATTTTGGTCAATGTTAAGCATTCGTGTTTCTTCATCTCTAATTCACCCTTCTTTTTCCTTAGAGCTCTGCTCACTATCTTTTAATTTACTCCAAATTTGTTCTTAACGGTTAACTAGAGTTTCACTATTTAAATAATTAAAGAAGTTTCTCAAACTTTCTGGTTTGGAAACAGAAGAAGATTCTTTTTAGACAATTTCAAGAATTTCCACCAGATTTCTAAATAAGCATTTTTTTCTTTCTCCCCTGGATAAGACTGACTTTGTAGGACAAGTTTTCGATTATTAAAATTTTCAAAATGTATTTTAAACCAGTCACTGATTTTTAGGGTGTCATTTATTTTCTAACCTCTTGCAGTTGTAATTCTTGCAGCTACTTGAAAATAAGTGATGAATTTATTATGTTGCAGAGTTCTCAGGAAGGTGCAGAAAGGGATTATCTGTTAGCTGGCATTCTGTTAATTCAGTCATCTTGTCTCCCACCTTTTTCCAGAATAGTTTGATTCCTCAGACATGTCCACCATATGTGGTAGAATCTCCTACCTGGCCACACTCCCTGCAACATTTGCCTGTTCCTGTACTATAAATGCATTTAATTTTAAGTGGGGTGAGATACCATCAATACAGGACTTTAAAATAAGATTCTTTTATTGTTGTACATATGGATATTTCAGGACCATTGTCCAGACATTCTCCCATTCTTCAGTGCTAGTGTCAGTAACCCATTTTGTTATAAGCAATGCATTTCTTCTGTATAGTTACTTAGAAATTGCTTTAGATATTGATTCCTATGAAATTATAAGAAATTGGACTTTTATATAAATAGGCATAGTTTAATAATCTTGAATTTCATACGTATAGGGTAAACCTGAGTACGTGTTATAATATTATATACCATACTGGACTTTTTGTGAGCTAAGTATACTCCTCGTTCTTGGATACCTCTCCTGTTCCATGAAATAAGTTATTGTCTTGTAATTAAATATGTTATCGTCCATGAAATAAGTTATTGGCATGAAAACAAGTGAATAAGCTGAGAGACAAGCCTCTGATTTTTCTGGTATATTTTTGGTCTCGGGGGTTTTATAAGAACTTTTTGTGAAGTTCGTACATAGACCAACATGGATAAAAAATGCAAGTTGCCACATACTAATAATCTGAGCAATGGTGTTGAATTGAATTTATGGCCTCTTACATTGTGTTGTGTTTCTTATAGGATGTTAAATAAGTAGAATTGCTTAGTTGCTGTGCTGAGCTTAGTGCAAAACTTAAATCTGGTTTTGTTTGTAGTTATTTGACAACATTTAATTCAAGCTAGTTAACATCACGTGGTTTTTTTACTGTAGCTGCAGCTCTGAGTGTGTAAACACCTTTTGGAATCTCTTCTTTTTCATAGTGAACACTTGACAGCCGAGATGCATCTTTCTTAAGGAAAGGAGTTTTTTCAGCTCCAAATAGAGGAATCTGAGATGCTTTTCCACCTACCCATTCATCTGGCTTCATTGCTTTTTATCCTTTTTGTTACTGTACCCATTCATCTCACTTCATTGCTTTTTATCCTTTTTGTTACTGTCATCTTTATTCCCCTTGCACAAAATAGCCATGCCAATATTTCACTTAGCCAGCTCCATCTTTTTTACACACATTTGTACTGAGATTATCTGCTGTTGGTAGACACTTATAATAACTATGTCTAAGATGGTGGAGTCCATGTTTACCTTTTTTGCCTTTGTAGAATTAAACTACATCTATAAGAAAAGAAAAACTCCTCTACTTATGCATTCTTTATTTCTTCACTGATTATTTTTTATGATGGGTGTAAATGAAAATCCAAAACTATAATATAAAGTGTTTGAGGAAACCTACTAACACAATTGGCAGCAAACAGTATTTGTACAAATATGGTACACTATGTGAATATGCACTTTTAAAATTATATATCACTTAATAAAATGTATCCTAGTGGACATTAGTGGCCAGATTTTGCAAAATATCCATGTAGAGGAGGGAGTGAAGGAATCTGGAGCAGTTAAAAATGTGGCTGGTTTAGTTTTTCTATCATTCCATCACTGCAGTTCTTTATTTGTAATACTTTAATTCTGATGTTGTCTTTATGGTTTGGATCCCTTATGACCAGCTGTCTCACAGTGTGCATGAGCACTTAATAATATCCAGTGACTTGACCTAATGGAGTCTGTCTTATTCTTGTAAATGCTATACCCTTATGTCCTGATCCTGTAGTTTTATCTGCAGATGTGATTCCTGTGCCAGCGCAGTCATATTGATTGCTTTCAGTCTCTTTTTTTGTGTCCCTTGTGGGTTTATGTGTAGTGTGGGTGCCCACCCACTTGGATCCAATTGCTGTTTAAAAATAGAGATTTTTCTTTTGATGATAAAAGTTAGTGCTTTTCAATAGTTTTTACATAAGATTACCCAGATTTTTAAAGATATTCATATGATGTATGCTCTATGTGCATGTTTAATGTGCTGTGATGTACAGGAAGCTTTGTATGACAAATTTTAGTTACGAGCAGAAAACACCCACTCTGAGCTCCACTAAACCATTCTTTTATTAAGTCAGGAGTTATTCATTAGATGAATTACATCCTTCCAGACTGGTCTCATTAGATACTTAACAGAATTTTGAAAACATTCTGTGATTATTGTGGCCCCCTGTGACTACATTCAGGGCTATCTCCTTTTGGCCTTTCCCAATTCTTTGTACTCCAAACAGCTAGGAGGGGTGGGAATGTTTCTTCTTCCTCTTCTCTCACACTCAACTTTTCCTTTTGCATCCCACTCTGTCTAGAAAGATAAGGAGGAAAACTTGTGCTTTGAAGTTTGCAAATCAGTTCCATGTTTAACTACTGAATTTTATATAGGACAAGGCAGAGTAATTGCTTATATTTATAGAAGTCTGCCAGAGCTCTGTGTCTTAAGGTGTTTAAGGATGAAATAATTGTAAGTGGTATGAAAAGGAGTGTTCCAGTGGAAACCTTAGGATTTATTTGCTTCATTGTGCTTGGAGAGCTCAGGGTCTGGGATAGAAAGCTTGCCAGGAGCACAGGGACAAGCAAGTTACAATTCCTGCGCTACCTAGAAAGTAGGTGGACTGTGCTAGGCACCTATTCTCTAGCATAATCTGGGAGAGCTGCTGCCTTTCCCTTCCTTGCCATTTTCTTTTAATCCAAAAGTCACAGTCCAGGCAGTTGATTTAGTCAATCAAGGACTCAAGTTGGTTCCCCCCACCCCACCTTTGTTTCCTATATTGATGATAAGCCAGTTTCTGTGTGAATATAGTTAAATAAATGGCTTACATTCTTATAAAAGTACACTACGCTTTTAGTCGTATACAATTTGTACTTTTTTTGCAGATGGCTGAGTATTAGGCCGGTGTGAAGCGTAAAGTATTCACTTTGGTTTTGGATTTGGTGATTCGGAGGGACAGTGATTCGATTTGGTGATTCAGATCGCTGTCCTGATTCGATTTGGCCGAATCTGAAGATATTCAGTGCCAAATTTTATTCGGCCATAAACTATACAGGCAGGCAGTGCCAGCGGGAGCAACTGGGGGAGCATCCAGATGAGCCCTGGGAGAAGCTGTGGCTCGTCTGGCTGTTCCCCTGACCTGGGGCGAGGCAGGCATTGCTTGCAGCCCTGAGAGAAGCCATGGGAGCTGGGGGATTGAGCTGGGGGGGAGTCCTTGTTCATTCCCCCAGCCCCTGTGGCTTCTCCGGGGGCTGCCAGCACTGCTTACCTCACCCGGGTGGCGGGGGGGGGCGGGCAGGGAGCCTGAGGGGCAGCTGGATGAGCCATGGCTTTTGCCGGGGCTGCTGGCTCAAACTGGGGCTTCTCCAGGTGTTCCCCCAGCTGCTCCCACTGGCACTGCCTATTGCCTGCCTGTACAGTCTATGGCTAAATCTCTGAATCTCTCTGAATTGATTTGGAGGCTTCCAATTCAATTCAGAGAGATTAATGGGTCTCCCAATTGGATTCGGAGCTTCAGCTGCCAAATTGGGCCCAATCTCCTCTGAAGCGAATTGGCTACCGAAGCTTTGCACCACCCTACTCAGTATTAGACTTTAGGGCCTATGTCCAGAACTCATTGTTTTTTATGATGTGATTGGTTTGGAAATAGTAGACTGTACATATAGCAGGTATTGATATGCATTAATCTCCAGTTGTGATAGGAAGTATTAGTGACAAAAGAGACTTCTAGTTTTGTTTTTTCTTTTTTCATCATTTTGTCACTCAGAATTGCATTACAGATTGGAAGAATCTTTCTCTTTTTTTGTAGTTCTGCCTTCAAGAGCTAAGACGGCAGTTCCCTGGGAGCCATAGAGTTAAACGACTAACTGGCATGAGATTTGAAGCCATGGAAAGGTAATGACTGAATTTAAAACTATTTTTTTTCCTGGAAAACATACTAAGTATCTCTTAGGGTGAAAACAGATGTTGCCTTTGTGTTGCCATAAGAATTTTTATGGTGGCACAGAGGCCAAACAAAATGACATCCGTGCCCATTACTAGGGGTGCACTGATAAAGATTTTTTTAGGCCAATACTGATCGCCAAGTATTAATGAGCCATATTGACTGATACCGATCTGATTGCTAATATGCAGCCCACCATCTGGATGGTAAGTCTTGGTGGGAGGAGGCAGATTGAGGCCCGCATGGTGAGGGAGGGAGTGAGGCAGGGCTGGATCAGGTACTGCCCAGATGCGGCATGGTGCAGGATGGAGCCGTAAGTGGCTTGTATGTGGTGGGGGCTGTGCACACCCCAGAGGGAGGCACAGGGGGGTGTGCCCCCAGATCTGTATGTGGATACGAGGCCAGACTGCAGCTACAGACTGGGGCCGGGGACAGCGCCTGGCTCTTCCGGGTGGGGTTTGGGCCGGGGCTGCACTCGGCAGGTAGCAGCAGTGCTGGAAGAGGGGCTACGGAGAGGGCCACCCCAGACTTTGTTGTAGTCCCCCTGTAGCCCCTCTCCCAGTGCTACCACCTGCCCTGAGTGCAACCTCGGCCCAGCCCACCTTCCCCCTGCACACAGATCTGGGGAGCACATGCCTCTTGTGCCTCCCTCGGGTGTGTGCAATGGCAGGAGCCGCCCCTCTCCTCATCTGCAGCCTTCTGGACAAGCTGCAGCTCAGTCCTGCGCCCTATGCCCTGTCCTGCCTTGGCTGTGCAGCACATGCACCAGCCCCAGTCCCATTCCCTCTCTCAACGTGGGGGCCTTAATCTGCACACCCCCCACACACACACCCTTTCCCTTTCCTCCACCCCTTCCTCACAACAGACTTGCCAGTTGGACCTGCTGGGCTGGCAGCATACATGCTACAGCTATGCACATGCATGCAGCATTTATCGGTAACATTATTGGCAACATTAGCCAAAAAAAGCTGATTGCCGATAACATCAATTTTCCTTTACTGATACTGATACGATATGGACCGAGACAGAGGTGCACCTCTGTCTATCCTTTATCATGCCACACTTGTGTAAAATTGATGGCCGCCACTTAAGTGGTAACAATTTCTGCTGCTATTCAGCAGCAGCAGTCTGTTTGTTTTTAAGGCATGAGAGCATGGACATCCTGGAGCTGCCTAATTCTGTGCTCCCTAAGAATTCCTATGCAGGATCAGGCCCCTCAAGCCTTGGGAGTGCTTGCCTGGCTTTCTCCACTTGAAAGAAGTCATCCTGGGGAAATCTTCTGTAGCATAACTCTCTGAGTAGGGTCTATGGGCAACATCTGTTTCACCCAGTGAAGTGGATCAACTGTACTGGGACAGCTGATCTACGTAATTTGGTGAGGTCTATTTCTAGCCTCAGAAAGAAGTTTTACTACACCAAAATGAACACAGGGCATGTCTACACAAGTTGTTTACTGCAATGTTGCCTAATTAGCTCTGCAGTAAATGCCTCAGTGTCTACACATGTTCCTGCTAGGTCCCCTGCCAGCTGGAGCTGCTCCAACCCAGCTCAGTGTGCTGGGATCCCAGGCACATGTCTAAACATGGTGCCCAGGAGCAATAAACTCTGGTGCGGTATGCAGTCTTTCACTAAGACTTTATAGAACCATTACTGACCACCATAGGTCAATAGGCTGTAAAATATTAAATATTTTTTGGTTTTTATATATTTATATATATCCAAAAAAATATAGCTACTAGTCAGTTGAATATGTCCAGAATACAAGCAACATTTTGAAGCTACACCTGTAGCTCCCAATAATCTTTTCTGCCTCAAATAATTGAGGAATACAGCTCTTTCCCCCAAGTTATTCTGTTATAAAATTTAACCATATAGAATATAATAAAAAAAACTGTAACCTTTCTGATCTTTTGCAGTATCTTGTAAATGGGCCATTAATTTCTATATAAAATGGTTTAAATTAAATGCAGATGATTTCACTGCCTATTATACTCTGTAGGACTTTATCACAAGGGTAGGACTGTCCTGCAGGCCAGCCATAGTTTGTTTCTTTTCCCAGTTTAGATAGTTCTTGTATACAAGTTTATAAAATCCTGTTTTAAAATGGGAATGTAAAGATACAGAAAACAGCTAGGGCTTTTGGAGATGACATCTAGTAATTGCTTGCTTGGAATGTTAGTACCTAACATCAACTAACTGTTGCACACCACAGTTTACTTGCAGAATTAGCCTTTGAGGTCTAGAGACCATGAACCAGATTGATTTAAGGAAATTGGAAGTCTACTAGGAGAAAAAATGGTTTTCATTTAACAGATGTTTTTCATCCTTTCTTTCCATTGTATTGAACATATAAATTGACATATCCATGAAAGCCCGTTGTTTGGATTGAAAATAATGGAAAACTGGGGTTCACTTTTGCACCAGGAAACTTAGGGTAATTAAACCTTCCACATTCTTACACGTGTTGTGAAAAGTGAGTTATTTGAGCTGTCTTCCAAAGAATTGCCTTGCTAACCTGTCCCTATAATAGTTAGCTCTGCCCATGCTGTTATTGGCCAGACATAGTGAACAAGAAACTATACGGTTTGGTGCTTTTCATGGGCTGATAAGTTGGCAGGTTGTCCAGAAATGGAACTGTCAATTGTGCACTGCCTAGACATTTATTTCCAGATTTATGTGATTAAAGGGTTTGCTTTGTGCCTTTGAACAAATAGGCTCAGCATGTAGGATGAATGCAACAGGGCTGGCAACCTAAAATATTTCAGCAGGGCATAACAGTTCAAATGGAGTTGTCCAAAACTGATTGCACATACTCCTGAGCTTATGTTTTGAGTCCTTGAAATGGAATCACTCAGCAATAACCTCTGTGGCCAAACAGAAAGGCTAATCATGGGCTAATGTGAGAGGCAAATATTTTTTTGGGTGATGTCTTTTTTTTTATTGGACCTACTACATGGTGGGTGCATCTACATGAGATGCTGTACTGAAGAGTTGACTTAGCACTGCAGTAAAGTGTCATCATCTACAAATGCGTCCATCTTAGACTGGAGTAAAGTAATTAACTCTGCCGTAAGATAGTACTGCCCAACACAAATACTATCCTATGATGGAATTATTTACTGTGCCACAATGCATGTGTAGACAGTGCCTGGGGCTGGCTAAGGCATGAGGCGTGCCAGCCAGCTAGTCCTGCACCATGGCAACCTTGTGTCCCAGCCAGCCCCTCTGCAGCATGTTGAGTTGGAGTGGAGCATCTCTGGGCTGGTAGGCTGACCCCCTGGTTCCCCCGCTAGCCAAGGCTGTACCACCCTGGCTTAACGTGCTGTTATCCCAGGTGCATGTGTAAATGCTATGCCCCGGAACAGTGAACTCCAGCACAAACTGCCCTGGAGTTTATTGCAGTGCGTTAATATCATATGTAGACATGTCCAGTTGGAATCAAGTTAGATCAGCTTTTGAATACAAGGTATTCTTCAGCCTTGCATTTTGAAAGCTGGTCTGACTTGATCCCAACAATGTGGTTGGTCCAATAAAAGAGATTACTCAAAAGATGTTCTTCTCACAGAAATCCTGGACCATCATGGCTACAACATCACTACCATATTAATGAGATAACAAAGGCAATAATATCCAGTCATTCTTAGCTTTCATAGGTCCTCAGCAGGACAGTGATACGGTGGGGCCTTAAGGAATAAGGACATCTTCTTCTGAAAAGGAAAATAAAGTACTTTGTCAAACAGCTTGGCTTATAAAGTGCCCTGGAGAAAATCTGATGAAGTACAATATGTGTGGGGATATGAAAAAACTAAATAGATCTGACACAATGTGTGGATAACACATCTGGTACATAGAGTGTATATTGAACCAAATTGCTTTATTTTTCCAGCTCAGGCTGTAAAATGATCTGAATAAAAAGATGAATTGTTTCCCAGAGAAGATTTAAATCCACTGTAGCAACATCGGTTTACCTCACCACTTCAAGCAGCAGCTTTATGGGGGAAATATAAACCCATGTTGTTCTAGTGATAGGAAAGACTTTATATTTGGCTTTGTAATAGATGAGAGCATGAGTTACTTGGTATAACCCAGGGGTCAGCAACCCCCAGCACGCGTGCCAAGCATGGCACACAAGGCCATTTTGCTTGGCCCACCACTGCCAGCCTCTCACAGATCTGGGGGGCGAAAGTTCTCTCTGCCCTCCGGGAGTGCATGCTGCTGCTGGGAGCCAGCCCCACCACCTGCCCAAGTGCGCAGCAGGCAGCAGCAGTGGGTGCGGGAGCTGGCTCCTGCTCCTGCTGCCTTCTGTTGGGGGCAGAGAGCTGTGGACTTGGGTCCCTGGCCCCATAACCTGGCGGCTGGAGGGCAGGGGCATGAGCAGGTGGAGAAGGCATGGTGACGGCTGACTGCAGAGCGGATCTGCAGGATGGCAGCCACAATGAAGACATAGGAGATGCAGATCATGAGAAAGGGGACAATCAGGGTTATGAAGGTAGCAGCAAAAACAATGGCCTCAAGGCTCTCTTTCCTGCCACACACAAGCTGTAACATAGGCATTACATCACAGTAGAAGTGGTCGATTTCATCGTTACCACAAAATTGCTGATGGAAAAGCAAA